TTACTGTATGTGTGTTCTTCATTTTATAGTGACTTTATTGTTTTGTTTGATCATAAATTATTTAGAGCTTGGGCTCGCCAGGTGTCTAGTATTGTTGATCAGAGCTCTTTGGTTTGGGTGTAAATGATAATCAGAGTTTGTTGTTAAAAGGGATATATGGATTTGAGTTACAAAAAAGATAAAAAAATACCTAAAAAATAGTGTTAACTAAACATTTATACGCTAGTTTTCCAACTGAGAATATTTCAATTTTATTTCAGGCGGTGATGCCCAATTTCCTAATTTTGGACATTGGTTCTAGATTCTTTCTTTAGATTAAATAACATCTAGGCAGTCATTCTCCTGACATATTATATTTTATAATAAATGGAATATTCAACTTTAGTTGGACAGACTATATATATAGCAATAAATATGTCATTGTAAAGATTTCCATGTAATTTAGAAATCCAAAACATACTTGGAAGTGTGTGTTTTTTGTTCATTTATTCAGACTTTAAGAGTGGTAATGTAAGACAGTGTTATGATCTTTAATCATATATTTTTCTGAAGTAGTTTATAATGCGACCGCAATTGAACTTTTATTTCAATTTGAAAAACGTTGATGTAATATATACGTTGAACAAAAATAATTTTATGAGCCTCCTTGTCTTCTGGTACAAAACAAAATTTGAGTGAACAACTGTGATATTTTGTTCTAATTTGAATAGAATTTTGTTGCTTTTATTCGTAAAGATCAGCCAATTTTAAATTTGAATTTCATATTTTTATGTTATCCTCTCTTTTGTATTGATGTGCTTTCATTTCAGTTTAAGTAGCAGAATCATGTATTATCTGTCATTGATATTACAGCAAACGATAAGTGTCTTTTGATGATAAAATTAAGTATAATTAATGACATTATCAATTGCATATTTTACAAAATAGATTTGTTAATGTTTGTTCATATTTGCAAATAGATTAACTCGCTTTTATGTTTATATAGACTGTATGAAGGCGTATGACAACTCTATACATTCGAAGCTCCGAGACAGTCTTATACGGAAAGGTATAAAGGAGGATAGTAATGTACTTGCAGTTTTTCAATCAATATATAATCACTTGATTGAGATAATGTATTGAAAGGGGGCTTAACTGAGTTTTTCCAGTGTGAAAGGTGTAACAAGCAAGGCCGCGTTAGTTCGATAATGATATTGTTTCTTTTAAAATGACTTGATATATAACATGATATTAAAGTGCGAAAATGGTATATTTATAACAAAAGTCATAACCGACATATGTGTGTTGATGTTTGCTGATGATGTGTTAACTGTGGCCGAAACTGTTGATGAAAATACAAATAAACGTAAGAGACTTTTGTTATGAAACTGACATGAGGCTGAACTTATAAATATCTAAAATCGTTATTAAGGCCTCCACGGTTACACGTTTAAACGGATTTGTTTCGATTTTCAGTCGAAAACGTTTACGATAATTTTTACCGTTTAATCGAAATGACCATATTGTCCTACAAAATATCTTAATCATTGTCTATAATCATTAATTCTATCAGTTGTAATTGGTTTATTCCAAAGTAAAATACGGAAAATAGATATTTACAACCCTCCACACAGCATTACCGTGCATTAAGCGTGACATAATACATTGGTAAAGTTGATTTTTCTTTGATCTTGCAAAAGAACGAAATGAGGATACAATGCAGAAAATGTGTGTGGACTCAGGTACGTATATTAACATACGTACCTGGTGGACTCAATCGTGATGAGCCCTGAACAATTAATTATTTGTAAATAAAAAGTAAGTGATCATTTGGAGACTTGAATACATGGCGTAGTATAGTACAAATAAGTACCACCGTTTAAACGGTATCGTTTCGGTTCTTAGCAATCGTGTCAACGTTTACAAAAAATTGTAAACTTGGGAGCCTTAATCGTTATATTCCAAAAAGGGTGACCACTAAACATTGTGTGAATTGGACATATAAAGGAAAGAGGCTTGATGTAGCCTCGTTTTACAAATATTTAGAAGCCTTTCTCAGATCTTAATTGTCGTGGTCAAGAACTAAAGAAATTGTGTCCTTTCAAGATATTAAGGCAGCAAATATTGTACTTCGTCATCAAAAATATTATGGATTCTTTGAACACCACGAAACACTCGATTGTTAAACAAATTCTTACTTAATAGAAATATTGGGTCATCAACAATGTTCGAAAAAAGAAGATGTTCGTTATCGGTTCTGTTACAGGATGGCTTGCTTACATCAAAATGTAACTAACTTTCTAGCATTTAGCAGATGTGGTAGAATGACTTTATATATTAGTTATGTGTCTAAATATATTAAATAATGGCAAAAACTTTACCAACTAACAAATAGTTGAGACAATGCAATATTATGCGTTGACGCCGTGACAATTCCGGTCGCATAACTTGGGTTACCCATTTACTGTAAATCACTTTATATTCGTGTGATCTTTATTTCGCGAAAACCCAGTCTCACATTATTTTGCGGATTCATGAATTTTCGACGGCAGGGTCAGAAATTTAAATTCGCAAAATTATGTATCTTATTTCCGCAATGTAACAGGGTACGATGTTTCTATTGCATTAATTTCCATACTGTTCCGAAGTTATTCATAGAAAAGATACTTTCAATGTCACTCCATTTAGTGACAGTTTTTGATTTCATGTACCAACATAACTGATTAATTGTGGAAAGTTTTTGTTATCCTTTGTCTTATTTGGTTATTGTTCGTTTAAAGAATATTTGATAAAACGTTTCTTGTTTTTTAAAAAGGTGTTATATACTTTTTTATAATACTTGAACTACATTGGGAAAATTGCACGTTGATCGCTGGTTTCACGTTAATCTATTATTATTTAAACTATTTTTGTAAAGTGCATAAAGTATAGGGCAAATTTTAGCTTTTTTGTGTTGGTTTTATTCTGAGAAAAAAAGTAATTGGGAAAAATGTGTCAAAAAACCTTTATACATGTTATATCTTTACAATTTTGGACATAAAATATTGCACAAACGAATTATTTTGAATACATTATTAAACTTTAGACTATTTTGTTACTAAATATAATTGTTGTATAATGTATTAAATGGTATAAAATTTATGCGACATAATGAATACGCGACGCAATCAATTCGAAACCTAAAACAGCGCGAATAATACCGGATTTACAAACTATTTCGTGTTTTTCTAAAATTCATTTGGCTTTGTGTGGATTTCTTGGAGAACCTAATATTTTTAACCAATTTACGTCTAGCTCAAGAATCAAAACTAGGAGTTAATAACTCATCTCCTAAGACATTACGTATAAACTGAACTAAAGTGCGATAAATTCTAAACGATATGTGTCTATATCGCTAAATTATAAATAAAATCACACACTGTTAAATTTTGCTTCTCTTGCCTCTCCCTTAGGATAGAAAATGGACGTCATGTGAAAATAGATTGAGATTTAGATTCTGCCAGATTTGTCATTAAAGAAATGTTTACGCAGTTGAATTCTTTTAATAGGCCTAATGTATAATGAACTGAGAGAGAGACATTTTGATACCGAATGAACACCTAGAGTAATCAGCGAACATTTAATTTATAACAAGTATGTCGGACAATAGAAATGATGGTATCTATTCACTGAGAATTTATTCATTGCACTCAAAATTAGAGAGCCTCAGTTATAAGGCATGATATAAAAAATTAAAAGGACCTCTGTAAAATATATATTCTATTGTTATACATTTTCTCTTATAATTCATTTTCTTTCAGCATTGTCATAATATACATGTATACTACTATATAAATACACTACAATGTCAAATAGTTGATCATTTATTTTACGTATTTTTGGCCGGCGGCCTTTCATTTTAAATAAAACGATATTCTTTTTTACAATATTGTTTAAAAATGTTTACATTTAAAAATGTTAACATTTTTATTCAAATTATTTTTTGTTTGTTTTATTTTTCAAAGATATATGTATTGTCATTGATCTCGTTATCAATAAAGTGTTATTGGGCAGTTGATAAAGCAATTTGCATAATAAAATGTACCATTATGACACGTGAGATAAAGGAAAGACAAACATTTATTAATTTTATTACAAAACTTCATCATGCTCTCCCTCTGAGGGATACGGTCATTGTTGTTTTACGTGACTACTAGATAAAGAAGAAAAATATATAGTCACAGTATAGTCACATCATCAATTCTAGTATTAAAATCTTCAGCGGTTATTTATTTCAATTTTGAAATTCTCTTTGCCGTTGGATTAAGCATGCCTGTCTTTCAAAAAGTGTTAAAATAATAAAGATACGGTTAGGATATTTTAGCCTTTTAAATGATTAATTTATCTAGAAGAATTTATTGCAACAAAAATGGATCTTTATTGAGTAGCAAATAAATAGACATAAATATACAGAAGGTCGGGTCATGTTGACCCTATATCACACATCAGAAATCTCTTGCAGAAGACATTTATTTGATCATGTACCAGATGTGAGGCCACATTATGAATTAACAAACTCAAATGTAAATGTGGTCAAAATTTGAAATGTAACACAAGACTACTACGTTCTCAAAATGGTACTTAAGATATAAAATTTTATGGTCATATGCTTGAATCTGCAAAATTAATATGATTTAAATTTGAGTGCGTTCAATGACTATTAGAATGCAAACGTATATTGAACATTTGAAATTTGGAGCTTTTATCTATGGCACAGATAATTTTCGTAACAATATATATCATCAGTATTGCATAGTTATTCAATGTCTTAAGCGCATAAAACATTAATTAAGTATAATCTCAAATTGCACCAAATGAATCAATAATTTGTCACACAAATCGTTCTACTGCATCTACAGCTATTATTAGTGCAACTGCTACTACTGTTGCTGCTAGTGCTACTTTTTCTAAACAAATGCAATGATACGTATACTGCAATTGAATATGTTTTTACTACATTTACTTCTACTTCTGCTACTTACTTCAATGTTTTTCAGCTTCGGTGTCAGTTCTTGAGAGTTTTCCTTATGACGACTTGAAACCACATGCCCCATTCGGTTATCGGAAACACAAGTTGTTTGTAAGGAAATTATGGAAATATTCAATTTTAACTGTCTTTCCTTCCTTAGAGTATCAAGATCTATATGTCACAAATTTTAGATCTAAAAGAGATAAAACAAGATAATTACAAACAAAAAGAAGATTTAAGATAAAAACAAACTTATTGTTAACATATAATAGTATATCCGGTACTTCCGATATTATTTTTTTAAAGAAATGTGTTTGTTTATTGTATTATAAGGGAATGGCACATGTTCAAAATCAATGTAGCACAGTTCAAACCATACTGACATTATAAAATAGCAGTATAATATTTTGTTCCGGAATATTTTCTTCTGTTTGCATGAAATATTCGTCTGTGTTAAAAAACAGAGACTACTTATAATCTGATGTCAAGCCCCTACCTAAACAAGACATACACATATATTTTGAAATTCTCAGCACTGTCAATTTTAAAATTCTAAGATTTTGTATTGGGACACTTGTACGATAACGCTTGCAAAACATTGTAGTTCTTTTCGTATTTCTTTATTTTTTACTTCGCACAACTCTGTCTAAATGCTGTAACATTTTTGTAATAGATGTCCCGAAAAATTTCGGGGGAGCATATAGTCGTCGGGTTGTCGGTCCGTCCGTACGTCCCGAATTCGTGTCCGGCCTATAACTTTGTAATTTGAAATCGGATTTTAAAACTATTTCACAGAAATGATCACCATATTGAGACGACGAGTCACACAACATTTGGGTCGCTACCTTGAAGGTCAAGGTCAGAGCATGACCTTGCAGCAAAATCGTGTCCGGCCAATAACTTTGTTATTTGAAGTCGGATTTTAAAACTATTTCACAGAAATGATCATCATTTTGAGACAATGTGTCGCGCACAACATTTGGGTCGCTACCTTGAAGGTCAAGGTAACAGCATGACCTTGCAGCAAAATTGTGTCCGGCCCATACCTTCGTTATTCGAAGTCGGATTTTAAAACTCTTTCACAGAAATGATCACCATATAGAGACGATGTGTCGCGCGCAACATTTGGGTCGCTACCTTGAAGGTCAAGGTCACTGCATGACCTTGTAGCAAAATCGTATCCAGCCCATAACTTTGTTATTTGAAGAAGGATTTGAAAACTATTTAAAAAGAATGAAATTACCAAAATTTTAAAATAAAAAGTTTTCGGGGCGCAAAAATTTTTTGGGTTGTTGTTTACACTTTTGAAACAAATTTTCTGTGAAAACTTTGACACTAAAAGAGGTATAAAAAAACCCTGTGTCCAAACCCATTTGGGAAGGGGGATTTTTTTAATTTTTTTTTCCAAAACCCGGTTTTTTGTTTTATTTAAAATTTGGTATAGATACACTTATGCAAAGTTAGTTTTGTTCATTGTGTTCAGACTTTTTCGTTTCATGTCGGGACTTTGTGGGACAGCCAACGTATGAAAGAGAAATGGAAGTATATTGCAATAAAAAAATCTCTGGATATTTAATATGAATTTAGGTAAATAACAGTTTTGTTATCTCTATTCATACTTCTTAATATACTGTAAATCCTAGGTTCATTAAAAATTCAGAGATTTTTTTTATTTTTATGTTTCATTGATCATATAATGTATGGAAAAAAATGTTGACTTAAAATTAAATAACGATTGTCCAAGTAAATACACGTGTTTGAACTGATTAAATATTAGTTCGAAGGTAGATTAAATATTGAAAGTATCGGGAAAAGATATTTTTTTTGCCAGAGAAACGAAATGTGTTGTGTTTTCGGTCACGGGCACGGGAAAATCGGGGGGCTTTTAACAATGGGAAAACATCTTAAAAAATGACTATTGGAGAAGGGATTAATTTTTAAAATTTTTTCATTTATGACATACACTCGAAGGGATTATCACCCGACTTTACATTTTTGCTTGTATAAATAGGTTTTTGTTTAACGGGGTTTTTTCAAAATTTGGGGCTTTTAAATAAAATTTAATTTCAGTCTTACTACTTAGAATTATATTTAAAATGCATTGATAAGTAAATAGAGAAAATAACAAAACAATATGCTACAGCATAATGTACACCCATTCTGTGAAATTTTTCATTTTCCGTTGCATATTTATTTTTTTATTTTTTTATTTTCTCAAGAAACGTTTTTTAAAGTTTTTAAGTAGTAAATAGATTATGTTTAATTTTTAAAGGTCCAAAATTTTAATAAAACCGGGTTTACAAAAAAAACTATTTTATAAGCAAAAAATGTAAAGGGCGGGTAAAATTGGCCCCCGGGGTGTTAAAAGTTTTTCAAAAAGGGTTTTTTTTTGTTTTTGGGTCAAATTTTCAGACTTTTGGGTTAAAAACACTGACGCAGACTTAAAATTTAGTGTGGAGTGCTACCTTATTTGTAATTAATTTATTTACTGTTCTGTACTTATAAGGGAATAACCGCCGAGAATATTGTAGTGTATCAGCAACGGATACTTCACCTGATAAGTACAGAAAAGTTAAGAGTAGGGTGTGGCAGACGTAAAATATTTACTCGTATGAGATAAATAGAAACTTTTGGGTAGAATAAGAAAACAAGTCATAAATTAAATGACACATATTTTATTACCTAAAACATACCTTGGGTTTACATTTGTAAAAAAATTGGTTTTAATGCGTGGGACGATATTTATTTATTAATGCAAATAGATCGATTTAGATGGATTTCACCAATCGATTACAATAGTTCGTAAAATGACCCAAGTGATAAAAAACTTAGTTTGAAAAGATGTTTCCTCTGAGAAGGTCTTGATGGATTTGTCGGACCCCAACCACATAGACCAAGCTGTTGGAAATCATTGTCTTAAAATTTCTTCAAATCTCTCCAACATAAAAGATTATCTTGCCTTTCTCACCGAAATAGTTCGCATCGGCACAGACTTGACCGTGTTAATATTGTAAAATCTTTTTTATAACGATTGTGAGGGGTTCTGTTTTTTCTAAGCGTTTCTCTACAAGAAATTGACGTTTAGCTCAAATTTAACTAACCGTTCAAAAAGACCCTTAGTTGATAAAAATTAACAATAAATCATTTTTTTTTGTTCTCTGATAGTGTTTTATATTGATTAATTTACTACCTTTAAACACCAGACTGCTAACAAAGACAATGCATTAAACTTAAGGTGATAATATTTCAGCATTTGAATCGTATTACTGTCAAATCTGAATGAACAGTCACACCTGAATATCAGCATTAGAAAATAAGAGCGTCCCTTTTGCATGTGGGCGAATCGATCGAGCGCCTAAACTGGTATAATATTTTTTGTTTGTATCTTAGGACATGTTTCAAATACACTTTTAAACTTACTACAAATTTCATAGAGACCAGCAAAATTATGGTATTTTATTTACAAATAATGTATTGATGCATGAACTGGCTTTAAAGCATACGAAAGGTGAATTGATACTGTACTTAAACTTTGAAAATAAAACAAAATCCTTGTTTTACATTTAATTCACATCAGAATAAATGAAGCTGTAATACAACAATTGGATTTTCTTATTAAAAGCGATTATAATGTAACAATGAGTCATATAATATACCCACTGCATAATAACATAGCATTTGGATATCAACAATATATAAGGGTACATTTTAATTTTAATTTATACTTAACATGTATTATTTTTCTTTTTTGAAATTATTTTTACTTTAATAATGAAATTGAAACCTGGATTAATTCATCAATAGATATTTGACCATCAGATTTGTATCCCTACCTAAATAATTAAAACATGGTTCAATTTTTTTTTCAAACTTATTTCGATAAGAACTTCTCTTCATAAGTTGTTATTTCTCAAAAAAATATGATCATTGCGATGAAGTTAGAAGGTTATGCTGATAAACTTCAGAAAAAAATATCAGCTTCCCTCGTTGGAAATTTTTAAACATATTTTTATTTTTTCTTGCTTTAAAACCTTCAGATGTAAACAATTGACCAGTCATGCGATAGTTATAATTCTTTTGCCCCTGTCATTTAATCATGTAAGTCCCTTTTGTACAAACATAAACACATCACACATACTGTGCAATTTCTGTACTTCTCATTTCAGCATGATTTTAAGTTGTTGTTGTTTTTTTCAAAATATGTGTTATCAGGGGATTCCAAAATAACCATAAAAATAGTTTTCTCACCTGTTTTGTACAAGTTATTATATTCCTTGCTTAAAAAAAATGTTAAATAAATATTTGAATCTATTACTTTTGTCTGATAAAGAAAGCGTTAAAATATACATACAAAGTTCAAACATATTTTAGCATATAGACGTCCTAAAAATATTCAAGATTATCTTATGAGAAGTGCTTTACTTGATCGCACATTTTTATCTAGCCAATGTTAAAGAAGTAGATGTTCATATTGTAACAATATAATTGTTGGTTCCCAATTTAATAGCAGCATCACAGGTCGTTCTTTTAATTTACATAATGATGTTAACTGTACTACGCGTAATGTAATTTACCTTATTACATGTAAAGGCTGTAATAAGCAATTCGTAGGTCAAACTTATCAAACTGTATCGTGCAGAAAGAATAAACATAGATTTGATATACGAAATTGTAACGTAAATCTTGTTTCACATGTTGCGATCCATTTCGGATCACCCGAAAATAAGTGTTCATTGTCAGATGTTTCATTTTTACCTATAGAAATTATAGATAACAATATGGACCGGTTATGTAAAGAATATTTTTTGATCCATAAATGAAATACTATGATTCCATATGGACTAAATAATAAAGTATTATATATATAATATAATGTGTTAAATAAATATTAATATGTTTGTCTATTATCTTATTTTTATTAACACTGTATAATAGACATCTGTATCAATATTGATCCATTTTAATTCATGTACCAGCTTTATTTATAACATAAATATTTGTTTTTACATGTTATCATATTTTTGCCGCTAAACGCCATAACGTTTTTCTCGCGTTTTACGCGTGTTCCGTTATTACGTCGCTTCCGGTAATTTTATTATGTTTTGCCTGATGAAGGCATATAGCCGAAACGTTTGCAATAAATAATTACTGAATGTTCGTGTTTGAATGGCTTGTCTGTTTATTTTGCCTATCTTGTCACCTTTTTTGTAAGATTTCTTGGTAATATTATATATTGTAGACTACCTGAATATAAACACTCTCCATGACAAGGAACAAGTAATATTGTAAACTATAAACAAAAGCAGATATAAAATCTAAATCTAAAGCTGATATCGCAAAGTTCATACAGTTCTGAAAGATGTGTACACATAAGGAAAATCAATGGCCCCCCTTGGCGAGGCCTTTTTTGACCCACGTTTTTTTATTTGGACAAACTTGGTAGTCACTCATTAGGAGATGTGTCATGCTAAATATTTAAGATCTAGCTCTTATGGATAATATCTTACCACAAGCTTATTGGGTTTTCACCATTTACCTCATATATACGTTTTGTCACGTTTTTTTCACCCACACCCTTTCAGGTCTCAAATAGTGAAAAACTGCCCTATTTAGGCACCAAACACGTGTATTCATTTGAGAAATATTGTTATAAAAAATGATCACATTTTTAGGCGCCGCCCTTTATCAGGGAATGTGAGAGGGGGGTTGCCCTCTTCTGCTTGAGGATATTTGAGGGTGGGTGATGGATGCCGCCCTAATTAACGCCAAACAAAATTTGGACGTGTGAGAGGCTTAAAATAGCCTCAGATAAAATTGACCTGATGTATCTTGAAGTTTGGGTGAAATTGGTTCAGCGGTTTATGAGGAGATGTCGTTTACAGTAAAAGTTTACGGACGGACAACAGGCGGACACCGGACGAAAAGCGATCTAAAAAGCTCACCATGTCACTTTGTGAGCTTTAACAACAACAAAAATTTTTCTTTTGGCTATTAACACTTGATATCTAAAGACATAACTGTAGTTTGAATAAGCTTTATAGTATTAATTAATGCAATACAAATTATTAAAGTTAACAACTTAGAGATATATTTTTAATGTTATGTGACACGACCAAGCCTCTTTGATGAGATAAAAGCTTTGTCGCATCTTCTGAACTTTTTCAAAAGCACCTGATTAAAATGAAGATTAATGTCTGCAGGTAATTTTTAAAGTTACTTGAATATATGCTCGTTAATACCGAGTCACAGGGAATTTTAAAACAGAGTTAGAATATAATTATGCTCTTTCATTAACAATACAAAATTCGACAAAAATACTTGATTATAATTATAATTTCACGCACAAAAATGTCCATTATGAAAAGAAAGTTTCATTTAACATTTTAGCTGAAAAATGAGTCACTATACTTTATCAAATCAAACAGTTTATAACGACACCAACATGCCAGTAAGGGTTTTTTGTTCATGAAGGAAATACTTCATTGCTGATTTGATGATTAAATTAATCCTTAGACACAATAAAGTTTAAACTTTATGAAACTTTAAAAATTCTTAACAAAAAACGTTAAACTGAGGAAATGATGTTCTTTAAAGAGGGAAAATTAGCATTTTTTATCCTTCACTTTTACAATAATGTTGCCGAGCGTTCGTAATACATTCTTTCAAAAAATTTATGTTTTTCAAATTTCTAGTCTTATTTTATGTATTTAAGCATAAAATAAAAAGACAGTTTGTTTGTTTGCTGTGTAAATTGTTATTTTATTTCATCTCGTGGACTTCAAAACCAGTTTGTAAAAATAACGAGATGTGAAAAGTTTCACCTAACACGTAAACAAACAAATATCTTCTATATATAATCAAAAGTTTAATTTAGATAAAAATAAAAATAACTAAAACAATTTTACAGAAAAAATAAAGACTAAAATAACAATGCATGATAAGTAAAAGATGAAATCGGCAGAGTTGCCACTTTGCTTAAGAGTAAAATGAGACACCAAGACTATTGTATAAAGCTTTTCAGCCAGTGATGGAATTAATAGGGCCAGTTACACAGACGGTCGGTCCCCAATCGGTCATTTAATTTTAGATTTAGTCGCTGTTATGATCGGTTGTCATGCGTGATTTTATTTCTGATTTTCTGTGAAACGGCCATCGGTGACAGAAAGCAAACTCAAACGGGTTTGGATCGGTGATAAAAAAAAAAATGCTGAAATACTTTCGGTTTTTAACGTTTGTAAATCGGAGCTAAATCGGGCGTAACGCTGATTAATCGGTGTTTGATAGCTAGTCATTAGTTGTTAAACATTTTCCGTCAGATATGGCCGGTGATTCATATTTGGTTATCTTTGTCCGATATACGATATCGGTGATTTAAAGCTTGCATATCCCATGATATAGGTTGCTGTCGGTTATTTGTAAAATATTTTCACCGATCGGGAATTTTAAACATGTTTAAAAATCCCAATCGGTAATTTTTCACCGATAAAACTTATATTTTCCCAATAGCAGTTGATAGGTGGAAAACAGGTGACCAATAGGTGATATCGGTGTTAAATACGTTGTCATCGGTTCAAAAAAACTACCGATCAATCACCGATGGCTCTGTGTAACTGGGGTGTTAGTAAATCAGAAAAGTGGTATCTGCAAAACGTACTATATTGAATCATCAAGCCATTTAGTAACATTTGAGGTAGTTCTACTAAAGCAGACGATGTTTACAAATAGGAGGAAATAACAGCAAATTGCGCCTATTATATTTGTAACTAAATACTTTATATTTGTAACATAATAATTGGCCGACAACAAAGACTTTTAGAGCGAAGCAAATACCTTTAATCATCAGTTTTTATAAAAAGAAACTTCAAAGTATTGAACACAAATAACTCATGGTTACCTGATTTTAAAGGATCTCCACTGAGTTTAAAAAGCCTATAAAACACAACATTTTGATTTTCTAACGAACATCAACTAGGACTTTTAAAACAGAAAGATATAACTAAGATTATAACGAAATATGCAAATGTACACAGAAAAAAATGAAAACCGTATTTGTTTGGTATTCCTAGTCCGATTTGATTGAGAAGCGTTTCAACGCTTTTTAATTTTAGTCATTTTTTCACAATTAGAAAAATTATGGAGGAAAAACGGAGTGAGCGAATGATCTGAAATTTTGCTCACAAATTTTTCGTTTATTTTTCACATTTTTTGTTCAGTAGACCTAACCAACTTAAATTTATCGATCAGTCAACAATAAACTATATCTATTAGTATAACTAAGAATAAAATGGACAGCTAATGATATTACACGTCAGGGTAGGACCTGGAAAGAGAATAATACTCAGGATAGTCTGTCTAGCTACCCTGTTGCAACACAAATTTTGCATCGCGAAAACGGGTTTATTACAATACCGTTGTATTTATTCACGACCTCTCCGAGTCGTATCCTGTCTCCAATTGTTGTAACACCTAAATTAATTAAATTTTCTTCGGTTTATTGTTTTGTCTCTTGTATCCCTACTTTATTATTTATATTTTTTGTGTTAAATATCCAAACACGACAGACGACAAAATTGACGCCATTTTCAAATAACGGTGTTAGAACAGTTTTACCCATATCAAACTGTTCAGATTAACAACCAGGTCATCTATAAATAATTGAACATCATCCGTATGTACAAACTCATAGAACCATGTATCAAAAAGGTATCAACATTTGTAGAAATTGCATCACCATGCAACAAAATAACATCACTATTTGTTAAAAGAACATCACCATAAAGCAAAATAGCATCACTATTTTTAGAAAGAACAACACCATGTAGCAAAAAGCATTACTATTTTTAGAAAGAACAACACCATATAGCAAAAAAGCATTAATGATTATAGAAAGATAACACCATATAGCAAAAAAGCATCACTATATTTAGAAAGAACATCACCCTATAGCAAAATAGCATCACTGTTTTAAAAAAGAACAACACCATATAGCAAAAAAGCATCATTATTTATAGAAAGAACACCATCATGTACAAAAAATAAAAGCACCATCTATCAAAATTTCATCACCATTTATCAAAACAACAGGATCATTCATCAAAATTATAGCCTTATTTTAACGACATCACCATCAGGGCTGGGAATCAAAACTGCGTCGTATTCTACAAAATGTAAACAAACGCCGCCATCGTGGAACGAAAAACGTTTGTTTTTGTTTATAACTCTTTTTGTTGGTAATGACTCAAAAGCACGTAAAAGACATAATAACGGAATTGATGGACATTGTTGCTCATTATAAGTAACAAAGGTAGGCATGCAATTTGTGCATACTTCTCTTCAAATAGCAAGAGACCTTTACAAAATTTGTATTTCTTTATTTTTTCAAAAAAAGGTAATTACTGATTGATACAGGGTCCAGGAGAGGTTTCCCTGGAATATTGAATTTTGTATCAAAATTCTGTAAATGAAAAAAAGTAACCACCCCAATTTCAAACTCACGGGAACAAAAATTCTGCTCTCCTTCAAGTTCGCAATCACTTTTGTTTTATACTTGATCCTTACATTTACGCTTTTTTTATTTAACATGTATGTAAATAAAAAGAAATACAATACTGTGAAACTTAACTGAAAAAATAATTGAACAAACATTAATAACGTCTTCATAAAGTCTACAAATCAAAATGAAGAAAAATGTGTTTTTTTTTCATGTACGTTGTGATGCTTAAATATGAATCCGGTCTAATGTTTTTAAGAAAAAATAGCTATCTACAAAAAATGCTTGTTAAGTAATGAATACATAGATATTTACCAATACTAAATTTTAATTTTATATTCCGATTAACAAATAAAAGTAAACGTTATAAGAACTTGTAAAAAGTGACTTAAACTTACATGCGAATAGCCAGTTCAATCCTTTTATGATAAACCTTTTTCATATGACTTACGTTGCGACTAAATATTTGTGTTTGATCATAAGAACACTTAAGATAACGTTCTGTATGCAAAAGGTTTATTGCTTTAAAGAGGATCATGCAAAAGCTATGTAAATATTGCTCATGCCTCGATATCGATTGTTTACCTAGTGATTATCATATTTGTAGCAATATCACGGTGTTACAAATGCATATCAGGCCTCAGACCACAATGTTTTATATATATACAGCAAACTAGGGTCATGCGGCCTTAATTCCCATTATTTCAGGTCAATAAACATCCGTTTGACAGTCTTCAGTTATCGACCAGTCAGTGTAGCAATGGCACGTGAACATTACGTTATTGACGGCATCATATCAAAGAGAAATATTGCTCGATTAGAAAAACAAATACAATGTGGTCATACCACGTGACATTTTGGGTACAGTACAGGCCGATTTTTCACCGATTCATTGATAACTTTAACTGTTACTCAATCGAATTTGATCAGATAAGGTGCGGAGTATCCGTAATAATATCAGCTATCCACGGTAAATCAAAATATAGAAAACCCCTGATTTTTTTGAAAACAGTTTTGTTTTCATACTTTGGGCCGAAGGGAACGATACACACTCATTTATCACAACAAGCGATTTCTAGCAAATCGTCTGTTCTTTTTTACTGTTTCTTAGAAAACTGAATGCTAAATTTTATAGATTGACTATGTCGAAATTATCTAGTAGATGCACTGATGCTTTAGCATATTTTCCTAAAGTTATTTTGAAAAGGTACGGAACACACTAATTTTTTAAAAGTTACAGTACACACACATTTTAAGTCTATTTGAAATAAAGCTGAAAAAATGTATGAAAATATACCTTTACTAATAATGTGAGTGTTTATATCTTATCAATGTTTGGAATTAATTTTGTAAAATGGCACTATTTGTTGCATGAAATGCTAGAATTTAAAAATGAATGTTATGATAAACTGGATAAATATGTTCCTAGACGGTTTAAAATTTTTTATCTTCTCGGGATTTTGTAAAATTACTGAAACAAGTATATTATGTGACTGTTTTCCATCACTTACAAAGCAGATAAAGGATAAATAAAATCAGCTAACATGTTCATAAACATGCAAAATCCCATATACTGACCTTTTTTCAGAATTTTTACAGTTACATAAATCTACGTTTGTCCATAATTTAAAACAATTTCCCCAATGATTTTCGAGTCCAACATGGCCGCGAATGGTTGTAGATTGTATTTTCATTTTTTCATCTGGCGCTCGGTTACTTTTTGTACTTTATCGGTTTCCATGTGGCACAAATCACCCACTGTAAAATTTAGTGCACAAATTTATTCAAGTGCAAGTGACAATCTACTTTATGAAAAGTCTGTTGTCGGGTTGACTCTGGAGACCTAGAGGTTTGGACCGATGTCCCTCCATTACAAAAAGATAAGACAGAAGCTGTCCCTTTCAAACTATGCACATGTTAGAAAAAAATAGAATAACAATTCAGAATATGATTTTTGAGACTTTATTATTATATTGCTTGATCCAAGTCTAATGACATTTACTTCCCTTAAAGGACCAGTACTGACCTACTAGCACAGAGAGTGTGGAATATATATCTATATTGCCATACAACCGTCCGGTGGAATTGCACTATTGACCCTGCTATCAATAGTAATGTACACTTATTTAACCTCAAATCTGGATAGGTCATTATGTAACCTGCCAAATCTCACAAGTTCAGAAGATAAACCACAACACCCTGGCTAAGTCACCCTTTACAACATTCCTTTAACTATATTTAGATACTATTATTAGCCAGCTAACACTGGGTATAAACCTTTAATCTGTATTCTAATCAATACATGTATTATCATTTATAACTAAAAAGCCTCATCCCTTTAATAATAATGTCATGACTGTAACTCTATAAATACAGAAATATTATAAGTCTCATCATATTCATATACTAAGATATACATGTATGTACATAACATTAATAATTCACAGTTTCTTTTAAATAAATATGAAATCCTAACATTAAAGGGAGACACAGGCAAAATTTTCATTTCTTAGTTTTGAAATTTTCATTCATTATTCTGTAAATGTCCTCAAAATGAATACACTAAACAGTCAAAGGAACAAAACTTTTCTCCATATAAGGAATAAAATGGTGTTTTCCTAACTTGACTCGCGTGGGTCAGGTTAGAGCGCTAAAATTTCACAATAGTTGTCACTCTGTACTCTGGAAACGTTAAAAAAACATGTCAAATCAATTACTTAGACTTGTTTCAATCATACAATATCCACAATATTTGTTATTGTAACTTCCAGGGTTTGTTCAAATTGCATGACTTGTTTTTAAACTATTCGGTGATTCTGTACGCGTCAAAATTTCGTTCAACATATATAGATATATTTAAACTTCAAACCCAAAATATATAGAATTTATACAGAAATTCATGTTGGGACTTTAAGAAATGTCATTTTAGGGTGATTTGAGTACAGAAAATCATTTTTATATTTTTGCCATTATTTTGCCTGAGTATCCCTTTAACATTAACAGTGGAATTCAAAATCTAGTAGAAATAAAACTATAATGTATAAACTATATTATAGATACTAATATTAGCCAGCTAACACTGGGTATAAACACCTATAACCTGTAGACTAATCAACACCTGTATTATCATTTACACATTTTAATGCAAGTTTCATCCATCATAACTGAAAGTCTTTAAATACAGAAATATTTTAAGTCACATTTTATCCACATACTAAGATATACATGTATGCACATAACATTAATAATTCTTAGTGCTCGCCAATTTTTTTAAGCCAATCACCGACGAGGATTTTTTAAATTTTCAGGTTTCAAATCTTAATAGAACAGATTTTATATAAACTGGGCGTGAAGTGGGCGGAGCTAAGTTTCGAAGAGCGCTAAAGTGCAATATACGCATGTGCAGAGATCTTGAAGTTTACTCCTCCTACTAATAAATATTTATGCATCATGTTTTTTCCGTACACGCACATGTATATCGTCACTACGGCATATAATTAAAAAAAGAGGTTCATTGAAATGAAAACAGGCAAAATAACAGTAAAAATGTTTTATTACTTACGGAAACAGTAATTATAATTTCCAAATAAAAAGTTCACTTTGTTCCAACAAAGTATGTATGTAATATTTTATTACTTTTATGTAAATATTACAGCCCGTGCCGCTGCAAAACCGAAAGTAGGGTGTTTTTAAGAATTTTACATTTATTTTTGACAATATAATGCCATTTGTCCGAAGATGATATGTATATGAACATATTAAATATGTATGATGCATATTTAATCAAGCCAAAGGTTCATTTCAGCCCGAAAAATATGTCGAGGTGAAAGGAGAGGCAAGACATGTCGATTTTTGTAGCTTATTGTGAAGTTGCAGTACATGAAAATCGGGCACATGACAAATCAGCACATAAATAAAACATTCTAGTGTTCCGTGGTATACATCTTTTCTACGTGTCATACCTCCTTTCCTTATTACAATGAAACTTTACTGCATTGTTATCCATCGCTGGTTTGTTTTTAGCAGAGAATGACCTGTGCATGTTCAAAGAGGGTACCGTTTGAGAATATTTCGCAAAGAGGGTACCGATATGGATATGCACCGTGATATTGTCTGATTTACCTAGACAGAATGCGGGAATTAGCTATGCAAAACACGTTACCCGAAAATGTGTACCGCTACCGTCTTCCAAATATGGTTATACACATTTAGGCTATTGTGTGACGTCACGCAGTGTGTTGGGCGGAAAAAAATGGGCGGAGCACTAAGCCGGTTAGAGTGCATATTGGATGTTCTTCGTAAATAAGAAAGCTACAGTCGCTTCGCAAGCTCCGCTCCTTTTTAGCTTTCTTATTTACGAAGAACACCCAATATGCACTCTAACCTATACCTAGTTTCCATTAAAAATAAATATAACATCCTATTAACATTGTTACTTGGATGGAATTCATAATCTATATCATATAATAAAGATTGAGTTGTGTGAGTGTCTAAACATTAAATGTATTTCACAAATTCTGTCCCTCTTTAAAACGTGCATTAGACTTTACTATATAACTAACTGCATATATATCAAGTGTTTAAAATTGATAACTTCAGGATGTTATCCTTTCTCTGTTTCAATATATGGACATGAGCACCTATATGCATAGCTTTAATTTTCTACCTTTCATTTTTACCAAAGGTTATTTTATTAACAATTTATATACAAACACATAGAAAATAATAATTAGTTTCACATAGTGATAAGAAGATTCCTGTAGCAGAATACCTGTAGGTATGTACTAACTGAACAAACTAGAAAAATCCAGTCTAAGGTATATAAAGCCAGTAAAAAAACCATCTATCAATATTCACTCATCAGGGCCCCTATGCTTTTGATGACCTTACAACTGGTAAATATTATACAACATAAATAGTAAGTAATATCTAAGATAGACAGAAAAGAACAAATAATTTAGTAAACATGAGTTACTTCCCCTTAAAATAGAGAAAACCTGAAACCCAAAAGAACACCCTAAAATGCAAAATAATGAAATGTTGCATTCTCAGTTTTATTAAGCCATGCAAAGTAATGGTAAAGTATTCATAAAATGTTAGATGGCCATGTGACAGCAGAAATTGCAGAAAATCGGATAGCTTTCAAAAAACAACCATTCTGTGCAATAGATAAACGTAATATAGATAAAATCAATAGGATAATCGTTTACAACAGTTCCATTACCAAGCCTAATACTCAGGTGAACGTTGTTCTTGTTGGAAAATTTGAAAATATATAAACGAATGAATGAAAAAGAATACCGCATAAATGTAGACCACAACGATATTCGAAATCCGGATTTTAGTATGCCAATAAAGCTAAGGGACAAGCTGTTAAACTGAGCCTGCAATTTCGTGAAAATAATATCACAATGCACATGTTTTTTACATAAAGTTATTAAATACAAATATAACAACATATTTGTTTACTTTTTTATGAATAAAAACAAACTAATTAACACAACATGACA